TTGGTCCGGGCAGGTAGTACAAAAAGGAACATGTTTCTTTAGTCCAGTGGTTAGGACATTCACCCTGAAGAGGGAAGTCCTGGTTTCTGGTCCCTGCTTCGTTGGAAAGTTGAAATGGTCCTTGGAGCAAGGACTGAAACTCGCATCTCCTTTCTAGCCGTGAATGTAGTACTGCTCCTATAAATAATTATCTGTATGTTCTGACAATAAAATCCAAACTCAGTGTTCCTATTTAGTATTTTATTAGAATATTGTAGAGCAGGGATTGGTAACACACAGCCCTCAGAGCCATTGGATCCAGCCCGAGGACATGGGGCTCTGGTGGTAGTCACTTTCCCTGCACTGCCATGGTGAGAAGCAGCAGCTAAGGGAGCTCTCCTCAGGCCATTGTGGAAAGACATGGCAGTTGGGTCCTAGGATCTGCCTGCCTGCCTGCCCACCTACCTCTGACCTGAGATGAGTCCTTGCAACCGGCAGCCTGAAGAGGCTGTTGACCCCTGTTGTAGAATTTATTGTGTGTAAATATCATCTTTCAAGGATGTGGAATTTAGTAAGGAAAAATCTTTACATAGATTTTTCTGAAGTTTCTGAATATATTAATGAAATTATTTTTGAAAAATTTAATAAATGGCAAAAAGTAAATACTTTTGAATCGGAAAGAGTCAATCAAAAATAAAAATCTGTCTCCCAAGTTAACTACAAATCTTTGATTGCAAAACATAATAAATCCTGGACTCCGTCTGTGACACTACCCTATAGAAAGATATGTCATTAAATGCTATATATTAATAACATTTTCCTCTCTCATTTCAGGCGGTAAAAAATGGAGGTCCCTTTCAAAACAGGTAACTAAAAAGGCCTGCTGAATCTTGCAGCCTTAGATTTCTCTGTAATTTATTGGAATTCTGTTCTTTATTCTGATAAACTTGTAATATTAAGGAGGAAAGATTAGATCCTTTTTATTTCTTTTTTTAAAAGAACTATGTAAGTCCCATTTTTTCCAAAAAGCTGGTACTTTCAATTCTTGGAATATCATAATTGATTGGGCCCAGAACCTCAAAGATACTTAGGTGCCTATCTGTCTCTTCAACCACCTTTACCATATTTTAGGAACCACTGATGTCCTTAAAATGGTGTTAAGCTTCGGCCTGACCCATAAATATCCACTTTTCTGACCATAATCTTGCAAAACTCTCCGTAACTACTGGTGCTGCCCCACATCTACTGAGTTGGTGAGAGCCTTATGTCAACCTGCAGCAGAGGCCCTGAATTGTTCTTATTTAGGTATTCCCCAACCTGTCTCATTAGTAGGAGTCCAATGCTTTAGGTATGAGAAGAGCAAACCTAAGACAAAAATTGCAGGCTGCATAGTTGTGTGTACATGTGTGTGTCCCAGTGATTTGGGCACTTGCCTGAGATATGGCAGTTCTGAGCTTTCATGTCCTTTATCCCAGAGGAGTGGCTTCAATACCAGACTGTTGGGTGTTGCGTGGTGCATCCTTCTCCCTCTCGTTGGACTTGTTCTGCTTTTCATAAATCTATTTGTATTGGAGCTGGGCCTCAAACCTATATTTCTCTTGAGTTTTTTAACCAGAAGACTGTAGAATCAGTTGGCATCTGTCACTGATCTACAGCATATCAAAATATTTATACAATGTGTGATAGCTTTGGTAGGAGGGACTGAGAGAGATTATTCAAGAATAACCAGTAGGCTTTTTTTTTTATTCAGACAGTCCCCTAGAATGAGAGTTGGGGATTTACAACTGTGCCCCAGATCAGACACCATAAGAATTTGAACTTAGGCCTTTCACATTGAAGAAGGTAGCTCTGACCACTCTGGGGTGAGAGTTTTCTATCCTTCATTTTTACACATATGGGGATAAACTGGGTTTATGTTTAATTGCAAGAGGGGGTTCCCAGCTCAGGATAATGAGTGGGAGGAGGAGCCTTTCTTATAGGTCTTAACTTTGGCCACGTGTGTCAGGTTAGGTCCTGTCACAGAGCACTGAGGTGCCCTGCTCCTAAAGAGGGGAAACTGCTAGGGAGGGAGCCCTAGCAGTGACTAAGGAGCCCAGCTGTGGGTTGCCAGGGCAACCAAAGAAGGTCAGCTGACCAGAGGGGGCAGGGCCTGGCTCCCTTATAAACCCTAGGGGCTGGGGCCAGAGACAGTTCTCTGCCAGTGGCCCAAGGGGAAGGAACTCTCTCAGGGAAGAAGGGTGAGGCCTGACTACAGGAGCAGCGTTTTAACACTGCTGAGGGAAGGTGATACTTCCCCTCTATCGGGCGCTGGTCAGACCGCAGTTGGAATACTGCGTGCAATTCTGGGCACCACACTTCAAGAGGGATGCGGATAACCTGGAGAGGGTCCAGAGAAGGGCCACTCGTATGGTTAAGGGCTTGCAGGCCAAGCCCTACGAGGAGAGACTAGAGAACCTGGACCTTTTCAGCCTCCACAAGAGAAGGTTGAGAGGCGACCTTGTGGCTGCCTATAAGTTCATCACGGGGGCACAGAAGGGAATTGGTGAGGTTTTATTTACCAAGGTGCCCCCGGGGGTTACAAGAAATAATGGCCACAAACTAGCAGAGAGCAGATTTAGATTGGACATTAGGAAGAACTTCTTCACAGTTAGAGTGGCCAAGGTCTGGAATGGGCTCCCAAGGGAGGTGGTGCTCTCCCCTACCCTGGGGGTCTTCAAGAGGAGGTTAGATAAGCATCTAGCTGGGGTCATCTAGACCCAGCCCTCTTTCCTGCCTATGCAGGGGGTCGGACTCGATGATCTATTGAGGTCCCTTCCGACCCTAACATCTATGAATCTATGAGTGTTCCCCGGTAGGCCAGACTGATGCTTTAGCCGGGTGGCTTTAATTTATGTTACAGCCCAGGGGCTTGTGTTTTGTTGTTGTTACAAGACCGGTGGTTTGGGTGAGGCTATTAGGGGTTGAAGGAGGCCTCATAGGGGGCTCACAGCAGAGTGTGAGGACCCCAGCGCCACTGAGGGCGTAGCATTCAGGTTGCATAGATCCCAGCCCCAGAGAGGGGCAGTTGAGGAGCCCCAGAGAGGGGGCAGTTTCTGGAGAGCCCCAGAGAGGGGGCAGCCTTACTGAGAAGCCCCAGTGTGGGCACGGAGAGCCCCAGATAGTGGGCAGCCTTACTGAGGAGCCCCAGTGTGGGCACGGAGAGCCCCAGGAGAGGGCAGCATTATTGAGAAGCACCAGTGTGGGCACAGAGAGCCCCAGGAGAGGGCAGCATTATTGAGACGCCCCAGTGTGGGCACGGAGAGCCCCAGGAGAGGGCAGCATTATTGAGAAGCCCCAGTATGGGCACAGAGAGCCCCAGGAGAGGGCAGCATTATTGAGGAACCCCAGTGTGGGCACGGAGAGCCCCAGAGGGGGCGCAGCATCACTGAGAAGGCCCCAGAGAGGGGGCAGCATTGTAGATAAGGCCCCGGAGAAGAGGGCACACAGTGAGAGAGGGCCAGGGAGAGCCCTAGCACCGGAGGGAGCGTGCTTCTAAGGAAGGAAGCCCCAGAGAGAACAGGAAGGGCCAGATAGTGATAGAGCTGAGACAACTGCTATTCCATCGGCGAGGTGTGGACTGCGGTGTAGGGGAGGAAACAGAGCCGCAGATAGTGCCTCCCAGCAGCGGGGCAGTACAAGGGCAGCCTCCCGCTAATTAACACCGATTAATCAATTATCAACAAAGCATGGCAGACGAGTAGGCGGGCAGTTGCCCCAGGAACAGGTGTGTGGGCCACATTAAGGTTGGCCCAGAGCGGATACCTGTTACAGGTCCCCAAGCTGGCAGCCTTCCCTCCACATTTCACTCTTGGCCAACTTAAGTTCATCAGTTTTCTGTGGATTCATTCCTTGGGTAACCAGCTGTCTCTCTGCATGATAGGGAGAGCTTGGGTGCCCATCTCGGAGCTGAAGGTTCCATTAGATATCAAGGCATCTAAGAATTAGGTGTTGCAGTGTTTAAGTACTTTGAAGGTTCACATAAGCCATATTCATATTCCTGTGTATGCATCTGGCCAAAGATAGGTCTAGCCAAAATATTGCTTCTTCCAGTACTTAGTTGTAGAAATTCTTCTTTCAGAGTTGACATGATTTGTTTTTTCTTTTGTCAAAGTTGAATGTGTAAAATTAGTACAGATCATAGTGTGAACCAAAGTAAATTGAGGTCTTTTCTTTCACTAGGCTATGCACTTTGGTAAATGAATTCTGTAACAAATTGAAATGTTCAGCTATTTCTAGGGTAACGCCCCAAAGTCTTTTCAACACTTAATTGCATAGGCAGATTTGTTCATGTGAGAATTCCAGGACTACTTGTGCGCAAGTTTATAAGTGCTTTTAAGTATTTGCAGGATTTGCTTATCCAAATTTTCCATTTGCAACTACTGCTTACTTGAGTTACATTGACTAGGTTGTTTGTGTATGATTATTTGATTTCTTAGTTTTCCTATTAATCTGATAATGACTTCACCAACTATATATATATTTTTAAATTTTTTATTTTACAGGAATTGAATCAGATACTTATGGAGACACCACCGGTTTGGAAAGGATCTTCAAAACTTTTCCGTAATCTCAGGGACAAAGGTGGGGATGAGGATTCACCTGCATATTGGGTCCTGATTTAATAACAGTTTCACTAAAATACACCGTGGTACTTTTAGACTGAAACATTATTTGATCCAAAAAATAGGGAAGGGGTGGATATGGTTGTTTCTGCATTTTAGAGAATAAAATAGTTTCCTTCACTCTTAGCAGTGTTTGATAACGATTACAGATGCTATAATATAGCAATATACAATCAGATCTTATAAAGCAATATTTTTGAAGCGTGTTGTATTAGTGTTTCATGTTTAACTTAGTCTGTTTAACAGAAAATGGTCAACAGAAAAAAATATAGATTTAAATACCTTTAATTAGAAGAGAATAAGCATCATTTTTTACAGCATTAATGTGATTAATTTCTTTATGATGGCAGTTTACTCCTGATGGAGTCATTGATATCTTTGAAGAAATGTTGCAGTTTTTCACGTTCCTTACAATACTAAATATGAGGTCTTATCACAGTGCTGACTGTGACATTGATCATGCCTTAGTCTGCTGCAAAGTCAGAATCAATGTCAGAAAGCCCCACCATAGCAAAACAACCAGTCATCCTGGGAAAGCTTAAAAACAAACATGTACAATGCTGCTATAACAGTGTTTGGCAAAAAAATGCAAGAAAAATTAAGACTGGTGTGAAAAGCACTCTGACACCCTTCTACCACTGGTTGAGAATTAAAGGACAGAGCTAAAACTGTAAGAAATTTCCCAACACCATGACCTTGGAAAATCTGAGAAAGGCTCAAATAGAAATGCAAAAGCAGTCTAAGAGGTGTATCTAAGACTTTTGGCGGAAAATCTATGGTATGCAGAAAGCAGCTGATGCAGGTGATAGCTGTGGAATGTACAAAGGCATCGAATGAGCTGTTGGTCCAGTCAAACCGCCCCCCCAGCTCTGCTGAAAGACTTAAATAGAAGTGTCATTACTGATAAACAAAAACAACTCAAGCATCAGATTGGCTACTATGGAATTCTATACTTCAGTGAGACTGAAGTCAAACACAATGAACTCGAAGGATTACGACAGTTCAAAGTTATGATGGATTTGGATAACAAGCCTACATAAGATTTGCAGAAAGCCATTACATCAATTCCTGGGAACAAGGCATCCGGCAACAGCTGCATGCTTGCTAAAATCCATAAATGTGCCAACAATAATAAATTACTTTGAAAGCTGTATGAAGTTATACTACACTGTTGAAAAGAAAGTACTGCAAGATGTCAAAGATGCTCAGTTTATACAATTATACAAAAACAAAGGGGATAAAAGCAACTGTGATGACTATAGAGGTATCTCCCTGTTGAACATTGTTGGAAAAAAATTCACTTGTATCATGCTCCCTAAGCTGCAGTCTGCAGGTGAAAGAATCTATACTACTGTCAGTGGGGTTTTAGCTCAGGACACTCAGCATTGATATGATATTTTCAGTCAAGCAACTGCGAAAGTGTAGAGAAAAACAAATACCACTATACATAGCTTTCATCAATTTGGCAAAGGCCTTCAAAACAGTCAACAGACAGGACCTTTTTACTGCTCTGAAGAAACTGGGTTGTGCCCCCAAACTGTTGAACATCATTCACTCATTACATCAAGGCAACTGTAGTGTATGGAAACAAAGAATGAAACACCTTTGACATCAACAATGAGTTAAAACAGGGGGTTGTTTTAGCCCACATGCTTTTTAACTTCTTAACATTCTTCATGCATTCAAGGACAGCAATGATGGCATTTATATCAGAACTAGACTAGGTGGAGGCTTGTTCAGCATCTCAAGGTTTAGAGCAAAAAGCAAGATGAAAGAACTGGTTCTGAGAGATTTCCTGTTTGCAGATGATGTGGCCTTGGTTGCCCACAGTGAATCTTCCCTGTAAAAATGTCTTAGGCAAAGTTTCTGATTCATTGGGATGGCAATTAGTCTCAAAAAGACTATGATCATGTACCAAGGGGTGAAAGAAGCAATACCTCACATCACTCTGGAAGATTAATCTCTTGGTGTCGTTGACAGTTTTTGCTACTTGGGTTCTACGATCAGCAGCAATCTTAACCTTTAGACTGAACTGACCGAATCTTGACCTTCAGACTGAACTGACTAACTGAATTGGAAAAGTAGCTAAGAATTTCAGGCTGTTAGAGACGTGCATAGAATAATAGTAAACTCAGCTCAGGTGAAGATGCAAATCTACAATCTACTTGTGTACTGTTTCTTGCAACTAATTGAATCCTAAATTCTACCCAGATAAAATATCTCTCTCTAAATATTTAAATTCTTTATGTAATTATTTCAAAATCTGTTTTATTATTTGAATAGATGTCCTTGATTTAAAACCTAACCAAATTTGTGACACTTATATTTAAGAACAAAATAAGACATCAACTAAAGACACTTCTGTAGTGCATATAAAATCTTACTTTCCTTTTTTTTCCAAGTGAACTTTAAGATGCAAGCAATTTTTAGAATTTTATTTTTAAATGTGCATTTGAAGAAATATGGTGCTCAAAAAGGTAAATCCAATAGTTACATTTGTGACTTGTGAGAATTATGTAATCAAATTAATCTAAAATTAGTGGACTCGATTTGCTGTCATCTAAATCTCGTATTCTGCCAGCGATAGTCAACTAAAGTTAATGGAATTAGGATGATAGAAAATCAAAGCAACATGTTGGCAAATTAATGTATCTGAAAATGTTTTAAAAGAGAAGGTAAATTTCATTATTTCTATTTTCCAGATGAGTAAGCTATAGGCCAGTGGCAAAGTTGGGAGTAAAATACAGGGCTCCTGAGTCCCAGTGCAGTACTTTATCCCACATACCTGCATTACTTACGTCATAATGGTTTCTGTCACTCCAGCATAAGTATTGTGATATTAAATGTGTAGCTGGACAGAGTCTCAGCTGGTTTAATTTGTTATGGCATCACCAAAATCAGTTAAACCATGTAAACCTACACCAGCTGAGGATCTGGCCCCCAGGTCTCTCTTTCTTTTTAAAACTCTTTTACCCTCAAATGACCTCTGTAACTTCTATATCATTTTAGTGTTAGCCCTTCTTTCTATCCAATTACCATTTAAGAATCTTTCTCCCATAACACTCAGGGCAGTCAACCAGAACTATCTGTGCATGGGTTACAATTTACAAGTATAAACAAAAGGAGGGAATGCTTTCAAGGCCTCCTAGATAGCTCTTTTCATTTCTCCTGACATACTACCTGACAGTTATTCTGCCTTCCTTGATTTTATAACAGAGGTTGTGGTGGCATCAGACAAACTCTTAAAATATTTTTTTTACATTTATTGACTCATCACTCAAGGATATATCTCTTCAGCAACACTCCAGCCATAGCTGATCTTCCAAGTAGACACAAACCAAATTAATAATTGGAATATTTAGACTCCTTTGGCACATATTTCAGTGAATTTGATATTTGAAATAGAAATGGCATAAGGCAAGAGGCATGATTGTCTAAATCATGCCTAAATTGGGGCTGGACCAGATGATGTGTAAGGTCCCTTTCAGCCCCTAATATCTATGAAACTATAAACTAGCTGCAAGTTAAATTGCAAGTACTAGGAAAAATAATTAAATTTTGTTTGCAGATAGTTTTTCAAATTTTACCCCAAAATGGCACTGTCAATGACAGTGGAGGATTAGGCCCAAAGTCTCACATTTGGTCTGGAGGATGTTAGGGAATAAAAAAAATACAATTTTTTTTTATTTTGGAAATTGAGGATGGGGTTAAGCTGGAAGAGGAGAGGTGTTTATAATTAAGGATTTTGAGGGTTTTGGTTGTGTGGCTTGCTCCAAAGAAATGATTGTTCAATCAAGCCTTTTATTTACCTCAGCTCTGTGCTCCAAACTCTGTGGTGGGGGCAGAATAAGTTGGACATCTTTTTCTTCTTTTGTTTGCAGTGGGACACATGCCCATCATAGAAGCACTGCCTTTTTTGGTAGAAATGACCCTTGGGGAGAACTATTGGATGACATTGTATTGGGAAAGATTTAGGGGGTGATGCCTGAGGACAGACAAACTGAGGTTTGGACTGTTCTTAGATAAGTGTTTTAGGATAGAGAAGAAACTGACAAGATTAACTTTGGAACCTGCCTTGAAAACCCTTAATGAATATGAAGCATAGTTTTATGTGGATTATAACTATGCAATGGACACTTCTGGGTGTCCATCAGGATTTAAAAACATTGATGTGTAAGGATTATGGAAGCCATGCTTTAGGTGTGTGTGGAAAATCAGTGATGATGGCTTGGTTCTTGTAATTCCTGTACTAGTAGGTAGGAGAGGACAAAGCAAGAAAATAACTTGGGATACCTAATGCATAGGTTTTTCCTATAGTTAATATTTAAGAGGCTGGGGGGCTGATGGAGCAAATACCAATCTTAGTTACATGCTGTTCTGGTGAAGAACAGTGGCTGAATTTTTCAATTATCCATGATTTAATTTAGTGTCAGTCTCTATGGTGCTTCCCTGCCCTATCTTTTTCCATTACTTTAATTGGTATTGAGCCCCCCAGGCTTGTAAACATCACTAAAGCCTGGATGGTTGTTATTGTTGCACCTGTTTTAGTGCAGTTTATTCAAACAGCTATTTGGTATTGCATTTAGCCTAAAGAGGACAGGTGAGAGATACCAAAATCATCCAAAAGACTGTACTATGAAAAGCAGAAAATGTTCAGCAAAACTGAATTAACTGCAGTAAGTTTATTTCTGTGAGATTTCCAGGAAGCAGTTAAGTTGGGAAAAGTCCTGGAGTACCAACTGTTGGGCTGTTAAATGTTTGCATGAGCTCCTGAAGTGCCTTGGTTTGGCGGTATCAGAGGTACCAAAACTAAAAGCGTTCAGTGATTTTAATACCCACGTGAATGACATTGTTGGTATCAGCTTTGGATTTTATAGGCACTATGATGATCATGGAAAAAAAAATTCAAGAGAGTTATGGGTTTAATTTCCACAGCTAATCAAACTCCTTGTTTATTCTGAGATCAGATGTCAAGTATCTGTGTGTAAAGTTTTTAAGATATTTAGGCACCAAAAATGCAGTTGAATTTTTAAAAGTACCTGTGAACTTAACTCTTATTTAAATCAACAAGGTTTGAAAATTCTGTTGGATATCTGTCTGCATCTTCAGGCATTTAAATATCTATAAATATCTTTTCCTTTAGAAATTAGGCCAACATCATAGGCTGAGATCTCTTATACTGAGGCAGTGTCCTAGCTATCCTTTTGGAGACTAGGAGCCAGTTTTGATGGTCAGTCTTTGAAGATAATCCACTGAAGACTTCCCAGTAGACCTAAAAAGGAAGTCATTGTTTCTCTGACAAACCACTCTAAACTAGAGTACAGAGTGCCCTACATCACTGAACTGTATGGCATGTTGCTATCTATTTACGCTGGTTTTGGGGGTAGGAAGTTTGTTGCACTATTTGGGTATTGAGTCTGGATATTGAATGCTACCCTTCCTTAATAGATTTCTGGGGTGAGGAGGAGGTACTAATTCAGTATTTTTGGAATTATGTTGTAATTTATGGTAGAAGTACTAAGAGCCTAGACTAAATACTTTATGGATACTGAAAATCTATATCGCTAAATTTTGTAAATGGTACCCACCATTTTAACAAGGCTTTAAAAATCTGCATTTAACAAAAATGTATGACCTTGCCTAATATGTGATTAATACAGACTTCACATGAGAATTGCTATATATATATGTACACAAAGTCCACTAGAAACCTAGATCTGTGCTCTGTTAAACTGTGAAAACCAAAATTCCTAACAAGACATGATGTATACTAACGTCTGCTAAAAGTAAGATAAAAGCTTGAAACATAATTAAGCAGAACACATTAGGAAACACTGCTTTAGTTGTAATACTAAATATTTTCATACTACTGCACGATACTTTTATAGTTGAGCTTTTTGGGGGATAAACTGAGTCTAGTGCATCATATGCATTACTCTTAATGATGTGACTAAGCTGTGTTTAAAGAAGCCACTCTCCTTTGTCTATATTCATTCCAGTTAGCCTATTGTTTCTTTAAAGCATACAGATCCCTACATAAGTATAAAAAGTTTGATAAAAATAGGCTGACTGAGCTAAATGCATACATACATACACTAAGCATAAATTTCAAATTCAGCAAATGGGATCTGATGTGACATGACCATATTTCTTTTTGTCTTTAGGTGTCATTTCTTATACAGAGTATCTTTTTCTCTTATGTATCTTAACAAGTAAGTATTTTGAAAACAATAATCCTTACGAATTTTTAAGATTTTGAATTTATTTCTATATATTAGAGTATTCTACATTCACAAGGATATTTAGGAGATAAATGTACATTAGTCATCTCTTTTAATTTAACTGGTTTACCCTGTAGTCTTAATGGAATCCAGCTGTAATGTTTCAACTGAAAAAGAGTTTAAAATGTTCATACAGTCAAATGACCTGTGGATTGAATACCAGTTAGTGCACTACATGCGTGTCCTCTAAAATTACTGCATAATCATTAAGTTAATTTATTAATGTTTTTAAGGATATTGAAGATGGAGAGCAGTACATACATTATAAATACAGTACTGTTCCATCTGTTATTGAATAACTGGACACCCCAGTACATATTTGATGCCTGCCATGCTACTATTTTAGAAAATCTGTCAGGCTAACATAAACTTTTATTTTAAAAGAAAAAAAACTTGCTTTGTCTTTCAACAAGCAAAATTTTTAACTGTATGAAAGTAAATTATGTATAATAAGTTTTGGATTTCTAGAACAATGCAGAATATTTTGGTTTTGGTATTATAGAACATTTGACAACATGTGCAATAATTTGAAAATCAAAGCCAACACTAATTTTTTATTGGAATATTTAAAAGAAAAATTCCTAACTGCAAGTCTGGAAACCTGTATATAGAATTAAGCTTGCAGGTGTTTCAAGTAGAAACAAAGCAAAGTATTCTGACAAAAGACCGTGGTGGCTCCTAAATTGTATGACTCTATCTTCCTTGTACTATTCTTCATAACTTAATTGAATATCGTTTTCTTCGTGATATCCCCCATTTGCCTCTGTAGATCTTTTCAGAATCTTGAATATGTTGCATGGCCACTAAAATGTTGGATGGGCATTTTTCATGAAAATATTAATGTCTTTGACTAAACAAATATTCTTTACTGTAGGTTAAAAAAATTGAATGGAAAATGTTTTATCCACATTTTGTTTGAACTCAGGATAGTTTAGTTGTATGAATGACTTGATAGAAGTAAAATCTAAACAGCAAAGGCTATGGGCCAAAATCATTATCTGCAACTATGACAGAGGTAGAAGAGGGCTTTTAGTCCCATAAATAAAATAAGTTGTTACTAAACTGAATAATGTAATGATCTTTGGAGTTCTAGCCAACTCAAGTTTTTCTTCCAGTTTTTGAATCTTCCAGTGCTCAAAGAGACAACACAGGAATGTTATACATGGTCCTATTGTTTGTTTTTACTTCATAACTTATGCACGTGGAAATATGGCTGTAGAATTAAGCAGGGGCGGATCTACAAAGGTGATGTAGATCACTTCACTGCTTGAAGTGCAACTGCGGTGATACAGTTGCACTTCCTACCCCTTTTGGGTGTGGTGCACTTGAGCTCTCAATGTCTGGAGTCCCTGCTTTTCCATAGCTCTGGAACCCGCCATCACTACACTCT